TAATGTAGATCTACTGTACCTGTAGCCAAATGCTAACATTTGGTGAATAAACCAACAAGCCAAACCTTTTAGAAATATGCTGCACTATACACCATATATTAGATCTAAATTAAAAATCGAAACACAATATCTTCAAATATGCTTTATTCATCTTGAGCAATTCATCTCATCGGTATATAACAAAGCAATATAATTATATTAATATTAATACAGGTCAGCTTCGTGTGAAAATTCACACACAAGTAATTAATGTAATTAATATGTATGCATGATCTAATGATTAATAAATGTACACATATCGTAATTTGTGCTTCTATAATCAATATAGCACAATGTAATTATTCATGGCCACATCTTTACAAAAAAGACATTGAACAATATTACATGTCAATAGACTATTTATTAGCCATCAAAGTGGATCGCAGTAAAACACAATATCAATAATATATGAATGGGGGAGAATACATATGTACGAGTAGATAATTGTCTATCCTTGTACATTAGACACACTGTGCAAAAAATATCGATAATTGTTAATATCTCCAGCAATACATAAATTATCACAAAGACAAATAACAATATTAATTTCACAATTGTTATTCTCTTCTGCTAAGTAGAAACATGTTCGTCTTATTTCTTTTAAGATGTGTTTTGAAATCGAATATGTTTTCTAATAGTCACGTATATCCATAATCTACACATACATTGACTATTTTTAACAACCGACTTGTATTACCAATTAAAACTGGAATTGGCAGTAAATGTAATTTCGATAATTTTGTCCTTGAAAGTCACATTTTAAAACTATACACTGAGACAAATACTGCCGATTTACCCTGAAAGAATATAATTCTGAATAACCTTACACAAAAGCTATTTATGTGTAAAGGCAAAAGTGACCGTATGCTTGCAGTCGACTCTCACATAATTACAAAAAATTCTGACACAAACTTTTAAAATACTTGTACAAAAAACGAGGTTTATAAATATGTGTAATTTAAATAAGATTAAAAAACAGAAAAATAATTTAACTTAATAGCACCAAGAATATGAAATCACACCTCATTTAAACCATTATACCTGAAATCTCAAGATTAATGAGATGTTCAGTAAACAAGGTTCCAACAGGCCAATTAAGTGGAAATATTTCTATCATGAAAGCCACTGACGTACATGTATATACATATATATCAAAAATGTCAAGACGGACTCACAAGGATATGTTTGTAAACATAAATGTATCACTCAATTTCTTCCTAGTGAACACTTGACTTACAGAAAACCTATAGATCAACGCGAACATGGTGAATCAATATTGACAATAACGAACATTTGATGATGAGCGAAGGCCTGTCACAGTAATTAAAAGAGTAAACGAATTTCAGAAGTGTAGTTTTAGATCTGCATATCACAATTGTACATTTATCTGTAATTATAAACGGCTGCAAACTAAATATAAAACATGTACAGTAAAGCTAAAGCGGCGTTTTAATATAGCTAGGAAACTGACCATTTAAAAACTTATAAGTAAAAGTTAAACATTTGGAGAAAATTGATCAAAACTTACAATGGTTTATAAATAGGCTGCCATAATTATTGGTACAAAAAATGTCCATGAGAGTAGTCAAGCTGAATTGAAATCAACAGAAAATCAATTAAATTTCAAATGCTCTGATAGGAATACGTAAAACAAATATTTCATGTAACCTATATAGTTATGGAACGTTAACAAAAACAAGTTTACAGTTGATTTAGTTTCTCATTGTACTAAATACATATCAATAAAAAGATAATAAGAGGAGTGCTGCATGGACGTATATAGAGTGACTATGGCAATGACTGTGGAAATATCTTCGGCAATATGTTGAAATATCACCTGGAGCTGGAAATATCACAGGCGTTACATAAAAAGTTTTTTAGTGAATTTGACGATTGTATGTAAATACACATGCATCGTAGATAAAGCAAGCTTTAATTAAGCATAGTAACAGATATGTGGTAATCTTGTCGCTTTGCTAGGAATTGATTTTTCCCCGTTGAATAACTTTTAAAAAATATCCTTATAATTCATTAAAATTGAATTCCAGAGAAGTACTATCTGTACCTGTATCGGTCAGTTTAAATGCATTTCTCGGAAAACACACACGAGTCTAAAATTCTGAAATACCGGGCAAGTCATATCCTGTTTACCTGATGATAACAAGGCCTCCAAACAAGCTTTAGGTGCTATCTGTGGTGGTCGCCGCGCCTTTACTTCTCGTTACTCTACAATATGTGTGAGAAATCGACATATACTTGGATTTGACGTTACAGTCAATTCTATTAATCATAAGTCACGCCTTATTTTTTTATCACCCATATATGGTGATTGTGAAGAAAAAAAAGATGTAACGTCATTCCGACACCTGTAACCAAAACGTTTGTCAAAATCATCTGAACATAAAGAAAAGTTTGCAATTATCACACCCCAACCCGACAAAAACGCATAGAAAAAAGAACAAAGTGAATATAAATATTGGTAAACAAAATCATATTTTGTACAATTTACACCATCATATACTTTCTTTCAAATCGTTTCTCATCATTATTGGGGGTCTTTAAATGAACCTTATTCTTCAAATACTTAAAGATATATTTCGCTGCACATGAACGCATAGTAATAATGCATTATCAATTTACAATGCCTCGGGGTTTTTTTTTTTTTTTTTCTGTAAAAATAGAAATAATTATTTATTTTAATTATGTGGTTGTTACACTTTCGGAAGATAAGTGATTATTCACAATGGCCAAAGTAAACAAAACATGGTGCAGAGTCTATGACAATAACAAGCTTATAATGTCGGTAAATGCATATGTTATAATATGCTCATAAGTAACATCACACGTGCAGGTTACTAAACAACCAAAAATAACGACGCATGTACTATCGTATTAATTAGTGTCCCGGTGGCAAAAGTGGGAATATGTAGGTGTGTCTTTCAGTCCTAGCTCAGTTCTTCTGGAAGATGGATACTGAAACACAAAAAAACTGAAATTTTGGTTTTTGGCTTCGTGATAAGATGTCCAAGATCAAAGTGATGATTTAGTAACTATCATTTTTAACAAGGTTATGGCTTTTTCATTATACATTTTATAAAATCTCTGTTTTTTCTAATTTTATTTGTTTCGTCTCATGTCCACCAATAATGAGCTGAAATGTGCCTTTGTGTCAACTAGTTGCAAATCAAAATAAACATCCAGTTTCCTTTAAACTTTAACATTTTACGAAATCTCATTTCCCGTGAATTTCGTGTCTGCAGATATTCAGAATCATTCTGTGGTTTTATCGACTCCAAACCGAGATAAGAAATTCGATAGAACATTAGAATAATTCAAACTATCCTATGGATAACGAGCTTTGAACGTACCTCTGTACTACTTGCAAATAGGTACAGACATAACTTAAGTTTCAGTTCCTTATCATTACTATGGAACACTAGTGACGTGCAATTCCAACAGTGATACACGTTTTTCTATCAGGCACAAAATGATTTCATCATATGTGTTGCTTTCATGATTTGAATTCCCAACATCGCGATTTTCGTTGAAAACAAATGTCGACAGTCAACAGTTGACAAAATTCCAACACTGGGTTTGAGAGATGCAGGTTGCTGAAGAATATAGGAACATTTCATGGTGGCCACCATAATTTCGTTGAGCAAATGTTTCCTTTTCCAGTGCTCTTTAGTATGCTAATTAGTTTCGTTGGTGTTTCCCTTGTTCTAATTAGGAAAAATTCGATTTTCTCGTCATATGTAAAGTTAGATGTATTCTTTGCTGATTAATGTGTCTGGTGGTTTCGTTATTGTTCGTTGCGTACTCCTAACTGAAAATGTGACGTTATTTTCTTGCACTGTCAAAGATTTACAACGCTACGTACTGTACCTGTGAGAATAGCTTAGGGTGCATATCAAGAAAACAAACAACTGATACGTTTTAAGAACACATTATATCACCCAGTCTTGTAAGAAACCACGAGCATGTGAAATCGATACAACCTAGTGGGTAGGGACGATCAGGTATGTAACTGATGGGTGTTCAAATTAAGTTCCTATACCACCTGCCCTTAACGTTGATAAGTATAATGCTGCACATAAAACACTAAGTTTAGCTGATACATGTTTGTATTTTGGGAAATTAGTGTCTGGGGTATGTTCGCCGATTAGAAGCACAAATGTACTTGCTAAAACCCAAACTGTGAACGGGCTTCACATGTACTCGCGCATGGCCTGGATATTGATATTTTGCCAGTAAATCATGTATCGATCATTAAATTAGATATCAACATCAAACAAAAAACTTGTAAACAATTAACATACAAGGATCGCGGTTGTAAGTTTAAAATGCATCATACAGTTTCCAAGCTTCTAGTTGCAATGTGAAAATCTACGTATGTAACATGTAACAAAGCACCCCTACAAACAGTGTGCTTTTATTACACTGGTAAACATGTTAGTTTAGAGAAGACGACAAATTGTGGACTTGATGCAGCCATACTGCATGTCTTCTCGTAAAACAGGTTGATTTCTGTCGTTTTATCAATTATTGACACCTAGCATTGTATCAATTCGCTTTGTAGCCCCTAAATATGATATGGAAATTAGAACACCTTTAATAATGTCTGAACGATCTTCAGTCAACAAAGTGGTTGATCGCACATGTCGTTCCAGTGTGATCTTTTACGAGGCTTTGATAAGGCGCTGCTTCTAAGTGGAGATCTTTCATGTTCGTTCCAACAACCTTTCCCAGAAAATAACAGGCCAATATGTTTATGTGAAGTAACTTCAGTAATGATATAATATAACTTATCAACGTGTAACTTATCAATTGTTTCACCATTTCAAAAAATGGGAGAGGGGGATATTTTCTAATTCCGGAACTAGTATGAGGTAATGTGGCCTCTAATTTTACAACTTTTCAGCAAGTTCCTGTTTACATTTTCTGCAAAAGACGAACGGGATAATGTCGGAAAGTCATACCGTTAATCTAGTATTTGAAAAGGTCTCTTTCGTGAACAAGGTAAGCTTTTCTCTAGTTAATTGTGAAACAGTTGAGCAACTTAACGGAACGGACATTTGTGTTGTGCTTGCTTTAAGATCCTATATGTCATTCATATTATAATGAGATCATGACTCGTTTCAGTTATGAATTTATTATTTTTTTTGTTCATCATTCTTTTCTTGTGATATTTGACCTCATGTCAATGAGTTCGTAAAGAAATGAATGAAAATACATGTTTTAAACCTGTATTGTTGGCGTGATAAGGACGGCAGTACTGTTACTATGAATAACTGACTTTCGTTTTAGATATAGTTTGCATTGTCAAAGTCTAGAACCGTATTAAATTAATAGCATGACATTTGTTTCTTTCAGATCAGCACAATATTGAAGGCAACTTCAGATGACGATAGGCCAATACCTGGCTATCTTTACCAAGAAATAAGCAGTATCCTTGACTAACTACCAGATCAAATGCAGTCTGCATAGTACCATAGATGTACATTGTGTCTGTTTGTACATCTAGGCACTGTAGATTTTGTACTTGCACTAGATGCCGGATTCAAACCCCAGTCTGAACATGCATCTTTTTGCTCCTCTTACACATTGCTGATTTCTGATGTAGAAATTAATTTGTAATAACTGAAAACAATCATAATATTACTATCAATATTGTGTTGTTTACAGTCATTATTGTTTAGTGTTAAAATTATAGATTTAGTCATGCATCATAATCTGTATTTTCAATATTACATTTATATTCACATATATATTATTAGTCTGAGCAATAGTGATATACAAATTTGAAGTAATTTTCAATATATACATTTTCTTTCTACAACCTTTGTAATACATAAATCTGCTTTATGAAAAACACAACTTTCATATTTGTAACTACAGGTGTAAGTGTATAAAGATAACCATGTTTCAAGTTTGAAATTCCTTAATCATGTAAGAAATTACCCATGAATCTGATGGCTACTGTGAAAGTACCCTGGAATACCTTGTTGACAGACTGGAGAGAAACTCTTGTCACATTAAACTGAAGGTTTTTTTCTTTATACAATATGGCACATTCATTAACACATTCATTAATCATGCCCTACACTAGTACATTATCTTTAAATTTGTTTTCTTCTACATGCATGCATAGAAGGATATATCAGCTTATTGTCCTTACAGTACAACTTTTCTTTTAATCAGTTTGATAGTACAGTATACATCAGTCTAGAACGTATAAGTGTAAATCTACATCAAAATGTAATTTGTAGTGTTGCAAGCTTTGTGCAATGATTTTCATTTTCGCAAAACTTTTATGAGTAAGTGAAATTTTAATGCAAGGTGTTAATTTACAGGTGATCAAAGTGATGAAATATTTGCTAGAAAATGGTCATAGAAATTTTCGATTTGGTTTATTGAAAAAGTCACGAGGAATAACAGCGGCTACAAGTAAGTATTGGTAATATTCATGCTATTATTACTGAGACATCTGTATGTATCAAATAAATGAAGTACATTGATGGATTTCTCATCAGTATCATGGTCATTTTTGATGATATGCATATATATGTATATTTCTTATGGTTATGTTTTTTAATAACAATGCAGTCAATCATACATGTTTATTAAAAGATTCACAAAAATTTGAATTTATTGATATTAAGTATAATGTAAAAAAAATATACTTTACTTTTTATTCTCTTGATTTCCTTTTGGTAAATAAGACATATTTACCAGTTTTGAACAATGGACTTCATTGTCATGTTACAGAGGTTGACATATTCTTTAACTAGAATTTGATTTTAACCTAATAAGGTTAACAATGTAAACATTGTTATGTTATTTTCACATAAAAGACATGAAAATATTTGTGTATGGTTATTTTGTCCTAATGTAACACATTCTACAGCTGTGAATTGGTTATATGTCAGAATTCAGTGGTGCTCCAGATCCTTTGCATGGAAATGTGCCCTATCTCATGGTCCGCAAAGCTGCACAGGTAAAACTTTTAGAATAATTTCTCATTTTGAATATATTTCTGATTCAGGAGGTGACGAATAAATTGAAATTTGATATCATGTTATGTTATTTGCAAGAAGTCTTGCTAATGAGAATTATTCTACCTTATGACCCTAAATTTGAATTTAATGGCAACACAATTCCTTCAGTCAAGTCTCATAAGCATTTAGGAGTTAACATTAGTGAAAATACCAAATGGGGTGTTCTTGTTTATAGCATTATAAATAAAACTAAAAAGTATTTGTCAACTTTTAGAAAATTAAAATATACTCTAAACAGGAAAAATCTTGAAATTTTTTTTTAGTTTATATTAGGCCTCTTCTAGAATAGCATTCAGTCTTGTAATTCACCAAACTATCTTGTGTCTCTCCTTCCTCTGAAAGTATCTGACTTGTCCACTTATAATCTCAGAAACAAAGATGAATATCAAATTCCCCATTATCGTCTTAGCCTAACTATGTCTTCTTTTATTCCTAACACCTGTAATTTATGGAACAACCTGTCACTGGAAAAAAGAAATAGCACCACTTTGAAACAGTTTCATAATTGTATCAGACTAGCAAAATAATCTTTATAAGGGAAGATTTTTAAAGAGTATGGTGAAAAGAGAGTTAATATCTTACATTGTCGTATCCATGAGTGCGCTAGTATTCTTAATAATGACTTATTCCGTGTTAATCTAACTGACAGTCCATCTTGCCGATGTCGACATACTGTAGAGGACGGGAAACACTTTATTTTTTATTGTCCATGGTACGATGTAGAAAGAAATAAAATGCAGACATTTATTATGGTATGGTAATATTACATATGAAAACCTTATGTTTGGTGATAATTCCTTGGACGTAAAATTAAATGAAGCTATTTTTAAACACGCACAAAATTTTGCTATCAATAGTAAAAGATTTGTGTAAGTACATGTACATATACAGGTGATTATATTTCTACATGTTGACAGTGCCATTTGACTAGCCCTTAGAACCTAATTTGTTTTCTTCTTTATTATTTAAGCATCCATTTTCTTTCTGTTTTTTGCACCTTTATTCTTTACTGAAAATTTGAAAATTTTATTTATGTACTGATTGATTTCACCATTGCTAAGTTGTGCATATGTATAATTGTATTATGTTGTGACAACTTGCGTCCAATCCTTTTGTGTAGTATTTATGCTCTAAAATTGATTAAGATTCAAAATGAGAATTATGCACATAAGGTTTTTGGTACAGACATTGACCAGAAAAACTGAAGTATCTTAATTTTAGAAGGTGTTATGACACAGATATACCAACCAATGAATTGAACTGGATTTCAGGAGCTGTCTGAGATGTTATTTGATACAGAGGTGATGGAAGCAAACTTAGAAGGCCAGGATAAGGAGTCTGTCAAGCTGATAAATACAGGTACAGGATATATATATATATATATATTTCAGGCAACCATTTTCTTGTTATTTTCATATTAAGCTTATAAATTTTGTTTATCAGAAAAAAATATCAATTCATTTTAATAGAAATTTAGAATTATTTGTGTATGTTTATTCATTTCGATGGCATATAAAACAATAAAATTACTTTAAAAGCTTGATTTACTGACTGTTCCAAAGGTGCTCATATGCAAACAGTGCCCCAGAATGATCATTTGCTTCAAAGTGTGAAAGCTATTAAAACTTTACATACATTGGTTATCATATATGCAGAGTACTTTGATTAGTTCATAAAATTGATTAATTCTGTATTATCCAACATAGGATTTAAAAGCTTTAAGTATGTTTTTCATTGGAAACATTCTAGATGTACAAAAAAACCCAAGAAAATACCAACATGTCAACATAATCATAATCGAGACTCCATTTCAATCAAAATAGGGCGAAATACCTTTGTATATGAACAAAAGAAAGATTTACATAGAGATTCTTGCAAAAGTACAAGAAGAATAAGACCAGGTGTTCTGGAGTAGTAAGGGTATTTTGCTTCATCAATGATTTCCGTCATGTAAGTCTTGGTCAATCCAATTAAGTAATGTTTCATTCTCAGATAAGAACAAGGTATATATACAACAATGCAATGAACAGGTAAGCTAACAAGTATCAAACACGTCCAGCTTCATATCCCACAAAGAAGTAAAATATTTCTCAATAAGATTCCTACGACAACCTTAAACTTCCCCATAATTTTCATCAACCTACCAACGATTTTGTACATTAATACATTATTGCATTATATACACTGTATATTGGATAAAATATTGTTTAAAAATGGGGAATATTTTATCTATATCTTTTCTAAGCTGTTCCTTACAGATAGTGTTTATTCCTTCTGTGTGGTGTTTTATATCACATATCATTATCATTGATCAGTGAGAATTGTCTTGGTTCCTACAGGTAGCATGGGTTCATCAAATCATCAGACTGGGAAGTTAGAAGGATTTGGAAACTCTCCTGCTGTACAAAAAAGTAATAAGCATTTAATATACAATATCATAAATCAATGTACAGGTAGGTAATGTACCTTCATTTATCATCCACCTTCTACATACTGTAGATAGAAATAAATAGCATCACTTTAAATAAGCGAAAATAGTCATTGCAAAAACACAGTGTAAAACCACGTATGGTTTGATAAATGAAATGATAAATATTTCATAAAATTCATAAATAGATATACACAATTTTTTTTTCTAGTTTAATGTATTGCCTTTTGAAAGTTGTGGTATATATAAAATATTGTTAAAGTGAAATTAAAGTAGAGAAAAGAATGAGGAAAAGCTAAATTCAAGTGTATGGGCTTATCACAGATGTTTGTTACAATATTTGTAGAAACAGTAATTGACATATACTATGTACATTGCAGTAGGTACATGACAGGTTTGTTCAGATACTGGATGTAAAATAGCGATAGATATATTTGATTTTATTGTGCTTGACAATGTATATGAATTCTTACAGGTACATTTGGAGACAATTTGATTGATAATGTATACAAATTAGCAGAAAAGATTAACGAACAGCCAGCTGACAGACAGCGGGAGTTGTTAAAAACTGTACAAAATGTTGGAGAATACAAACCACCAATGAACATCACGACTGATTCATCACCTCTTGTTACACCCTTTACAAAGCCAGAAGTAAAATCCTACCCAGGTATGGCTGATCTGTATGTGGTTGGCTGACATTGACATGTTTTAACAGTATCTTGGTGGTACTGGAATATTGAGAGGTCAACAAATAAATCTGAAGTGGGATGAGATAGATGAAATCCTAGAACATATTATGCCCAGCCATTTTTATTAGGAATGTGTTGGGGGAAAGGTGTCATATTAGAGTGTTAATCCAGCAACCTGGTCCTGTCATATGTTCTCTTCTAAATAAATACAAAATCTGGTAACAGATTTGGTTCATATTTTTACACCTTACCATATCATGGTGATCATCTGTCAAGGTTAAAGTGTCAAAGGTCACTGGTCTTGATACATAAGTTCTTTTTTCTAAATAATTATTGTAATTTTATCACATACTAATTTATCTGCAATATGTTTTCAGTTGAGCCAATGAGGAAACATGTTCCTGGAAAGGCAGGTGGTGGTTGGGATGACAGTGATGATGATGTTGATAGTCGCCATGGACACAGCCAGTCATCTGGTAAAAAAAGCAGTGGCAGTAATAATGACCTTTTAGAGAGGTATGAGGCGTTTACTTGAATAACTTCTTCTTAACCAGTGGATAAATAGAGAGACAGATATTATCATATAGACACTACTCAAGGTCAAGGTCAAGTATGATAATGATAATCACTAGGACTAACATACATATTCAGGTTTTGTATTGCGTATGTCTTACATATACTTAATGAATTTAATTAAATAAGTAATGACTTTTTCTGAAGGATGGAAGTAGTGACTTTGGAAGATTGGAGTGGGGAGGAAAATCTAGTGAACAACACTGTGGACAATGGTCAATCATTTCTTCTGAAAAGGATAGAGATTAAGAATTTTGTACAGAATTGCCATCAATTAAGCTGTTATAAAATCCTAGAACTTCTAAATCAGCGGTTAAAATCTGGAGTTGATAACCACAGAATGGTGAGTCTTTTACTGTTAAACTATAAGCACAGACATTAATGTTTTGGTGAGAATCAAATGTATTGATAGGCAGTTAAAGACATTGGCTGGAAGATGTTTTGATGGAAATGTAATTAACTGATTGAAATATACTTTGGTAGAAAGAATTGATATACATTAGCATCAATTGTTGATTTAAATTTAGTTGTAACATCACAGGCTCACTGAGTGGAAAAGTTGTAAACCAAATTACCAAGTCATGCTGTAAATATTTATTCATCTGTATATACATTTCCTTTACTATGAAACATGTCCCATTTGACAATTATTTCTCTTCATTAGAGGTCCTTACTTCTGGTGGAGAATCTGCTCACTACAGATTTAATCAGCATTGATAGAGTGATTCGGACGTGCAAGGGAAACCTGATCTGGTTGGTTGGAAACTGTACTGGGCCAATAGCATCAAAGGCAAATAAGGTAGATCTGAAGGAGATATCAGGGATAAACTTAAACAAGTTTGGTTTGATTTAAGGTCATTTTTATTACCAGGTATAACATGGGAACTTCAACGTGTGATATTATACTGATCATGAATAAGTTGAACAGTGAAGGGGAGATAATTCCTTTTTTCTATCATCACAATAGTGAAAAATGTTGCATAAACATTTGCTGCTGTAAATAGTATGTGTGGTAATTTTTCAGATCATTAAAATTTTGGAGAGGCTATCAAACAACATTCTATTTCATGGATCAGCAATAGACACCAACTTGAATGGACAGGCCTTGGAATGTGACCTGCTGGGCCAGCAACATTCCAAACATATGCAAAGGCTACAGTGTGAGGACAAGGAAGAGAATGTTAATGCTAATACAGAAAGAGACATTGAGTTGCTATTACAGCAAGACCCAAGTAAAACCTTGTACAGTGCAGACACAGTGCAGGGTCAGTCAGACATGGTTCAATCTAATAATGATATTACCTAGGCATTTGCAGGATTTGATCAGACTTGAGGGTTAACAAATGACACACTTGGCTCAAATACATCACTTTTGATTTATCTATTTCTTTTATCATACATCATAGTCTGCCAGTCTTCAAATGAGATCCTTAATTTCCCCATCCAACATTTACCAGATGGGTGTCTGTGCAATATTTTATGTTGTTGTCATGGTTCATGTTAGTTTTTGTAATTTTTATTAATAATGTTTAGTTTTGCTATTTGCCATTTCCATGCTGTGCATTTTTCAGAAAGAGTATTTGAGTTTTCATTTGATAAAAATGATGCTTTCCATTTAAATCTTTGTGAAATTTTGAGTGATTTTCAGATTTTTTTGTTATATAAATAACGTAGTTAACATTCTCTTCTCCTGAATTATAACAAGTGTTTCATTTCCATTGTTGCCAACTCACCTGATTTCATAAGGTGAAATGTTACTGGCCATACCATGATCTGCTGAAATCATGAAAAATGCTAAAATCGTCTATTGTTCTTCTCTGACATAAAATCATTTAATTCATATGAATGGTATAACTATACAATAGAATGGGAAATACGGTCTTTTTGTCTAATGACCCTTTAAAACACTCTGTCACCCTTGACTTTGAAGGCCATCACCAAATATTATTAAGTAAAAGGTTGGCAACACTGTTTTACTGAATATTGATTGGCATCATTAAAGGTTGTTCAATTCATATTCCAAATGTTCCAAAAATAAGACATTGAATCCAGTGCACATGTACTTGCAATTTTAGAAAACAGTAAATCATTTCATTTTTACTATGAGAATGTGTTCAACATATAAGTATTTTTTCTTCTTAACAACAACTACCATAATGAGTGCCAGTTACAGTACATAGTATGCACACTCATTAGTGACTAGACTTTGTTCATGTGGATGTTAACCAATAAAGTTTGTCAAGTAGTAACTTGACTGTTCATTTTGAAATGCCGCAATATGAAAATAAAAAACAAATGAGAAAAAATGACAGAAGTATTTTTTTCTGGTTAAAACATATTTATTGGTAATGAAATCATATCATTCATAAACAATGTTAGATCTGCTGGCATTTAGCTTTTTGGTGTTCTAAATGCTAAGACAGCTGGTCATATATTGGATTACAATATATTGATAATCTATTTGATGTAATATAATTAAAACATATTTAAATATTTAGAAAAAGTACATAAAATATAGATCAAATATGGATACACAATGACATTATGATTTCATATTAGAATATATTTCTGTTAAATGCACACTTGTAAAACCATGTAAATGTTTGTACTGACCACTACCCATTTCTACAATGACACATTCATAACCTACATTTTTCATGAATTTTAAAACTAGTTTATTAGGAAGAATGTTAACAGGAAATCACTATAACAGAAATATAGAAATCAGATAATACAATCACAATCTTCTTAAATCACTGCAAATCTTAGTGCACTGATTGACAAGGTTTTTTCTATTGATAACCAGTTAAATTATATGATATATGGTATCTTCAACATCCAAGGGTTTCACTTTGTTTACCACATATCATCTTAGCATCCTTGTACTCTGTGTAACACATATCATCTTAACATCCTTGTACTCTGTTTAACACACATCATCTTAGCATCCTTGCACTCTGTTTACCACATATCATCTTAGCATCCTTGTACTCTGTTTACCACATATCATCTTAGCATCCTTGTACTCTGTTTACCACATATCATCTTAGCATCCTTGTACTCTGTTTACCACATATCATCTTAGCATCCTTGTACTCTGTTTACCACATATCATCTTAGCATCCTTGTACACTGTTTACCACATATCATCTTAGCATCCTTGTACTCTGTTTACCACACATCATCTTAGCATCCTTGCACACTGTTTACCACATATCATCTTAACATCCTTGTACTCTGTTTACCACATATCATCTTAGCATCCTTGTACTCTGTTTACCACACGTCATCTTAGCATCCTTGTACACTGTTTACCACACATCATCTTAGCATCCTTGTACTCTGTTTACCACATATCATCTTAACATCCTTGTACACTGTTTACCACATATCATCTTAGCATCCTTGTACTCTGTTTACCACATATCATCTTAGCATCCTTGTACTCTGTTTACCACACGTCATCTTAGCATCCTTGTACTCTGTTTACCACATATCATCTTAGCATCCATCTTAGCATCCTTGTACTCTGTTTACCACACATCATCTTAACATCCTTGTACTCTGTTTACCACATATCATCTTAACATCCTTGTACTCTGTTTACCACACATCATCTTAGCATCCTTGTACTCTGTAACACATGTCTTAACATCCTTGTACTCTGTTTACCACATATCATCTTAACATCCTTGTACTCTGTTTAACACATATCATCTTAACATCCTTGTACTCTGTAGCATCCTTGTACTCTGTTTACCACACGTCATCTTAACATCCTTGTACTCTGTTTAACACACGTCATCTTAACATCCTTGTACTCTGTTTAACACACATCATCTTAACATCCTTGTACACTGTTTACCACATATCATCTTAGCATCCTTGTACTCTGTTTACCACATATCATCTTAGCATCCTTGTACTCTGTTTACCACATATCATCTTAACATCCTTGTACTCTGTGTAACACATATCATCTTAGCATCCTTGTACTCTGTTTACCACATATCATCTTAGCATCCTTGTACACTGTTTACCACACATCATCTTAGCATCCTTGTACTCTGTTTACCACATATCATCTTAACACTCTGTTTACCACATATCATCTTAACATCCTTGTACTCTGTTTACCACATATCATCTTAACATCCTTGTACTTAGCATCCTTGTACTTTGTTTACCACATATCATCTTAACATCCTTGTACTCTGTTTACCACATATCATCTTAACATCCTTGTACACTGTTTAACACACATCATCTTAACATCCTTGTACACTGTTTAACACACATCATCTTAACATCCTTGTACTCTGTTTACCACATATCATCTTAGCATCCTTGTACTCTGTTTACCACATATCATCTTAGCATCCTTGTACTCTGTTTACCACATATCATCTTAACATCCTTGTACTTAGCATCCTTGTACACTGTTTACCACATATCATCTTAACATCCTTGTACTTAGCATCCTTGTACACTGTTTACCACATATCATCTTAGCATCCTTGTACTCTGTTTACCACACATCATCTTAACATCCTTGTACTCTGTTTACCACATATCATCTTAACATCCTTGTACACTGTTTACCACATATCATCTTAGCATCCTTGTACTCTGTTTACCACATATCATCTTAACATCCTTGTACTCTGTTTAACACATATCATCTTAACATCCTTGTACTCTGTGTAACACATATCATCTTAGCATCCTTGTACACTGTTTACCACATATCATCTTAGCATCCTTGCACTCTGTTTACCACATATCATCTTAGCATCCTTGCACTCTGTTTACCACATATCATCTTAACATCCTTGTACTCTGTTTACCACATATCATCTTAACATCCTTGTACTCTGTTTACCACATATCATCTTAGCATCCTTGTACACTGTTTACCACATATCATCTTAGCATCCTTGTACTCTGTTTACCACATATCATCTTAGCATCCTTGTACACTGTTTACCACATATCATCTTAACATCCTTGTACTCTGTTTACCACATATCATCTTAGCATCCTTGTACTCTGTGTAACACATATCATCTTAGCATCCTTGTACTCTGTGTACCACACATCATCTTAGCATCCTTGTACTCTGTTTAACACACATCATCTTAACATCCTTGTACACTGTTTACCACACGTCATCTTAACATCCTTGTACTCTGTTTAACACATATCATCTTAACATCCTTGTACTCTGTGTAACACATATCATCTTAGCATCCTTGTACTCTGTTTACCACATATCATCTTAGCATCCTTGTACTCTGTTTACCACATATCATCTTAGCATCCTTGTACTTTGTTTACCACATATCATCTTAGCATCCTTGTACTCGTTTACCACATATCATCTTAGCATCCTTGTACTCTGTTTACCACATATCATCTTAACATCCTTGTACTCTGTTTACCACACGTCATCTTAGCATCCTTGCACTCTGTTTACCACATGTCATCTTAGCATCCTTGTACTCTGTGTAACACATATCATCTTAGCATCCTTGTACACTGTTTACCACATATCATCTTAGCATCCTTGTACTCTGTTTAACACATATCATCTTAGCATCCTTGTACTCTGTTTACCACACATCATCTTAACATCCTTGTACTCTGTTTACCACATATCATCTTAGCATCCTTGTACACTGTTTACCACATATCATCTTAGCATCCTTGTACTCTGTTTAACACATATCATCTTAGCATCCTTGTACTCTGTTTACCACATATCATCTTAGCATCCTTGTACACTGTTTACCACATATCATCTTAGCATCCTTGTACTCTGTTTAACACATATCATCTTAGCATCCATGTACACTGTTTACCACATATCATCTGAGCATCCTTGTACTCTGTTTAACACATATCATCTTAGCATCCTTGTACTCTGTTTACCACATGTCATCTTAGCATCCATGTACACTGTTTACCACATGTCATCTTAGCATCCATGTACACTGTTTACCACATGTCATCTTAGCATCCTTGTACTCTGTGTACCACATATCATCTTAGCATCCTTGCACTCTGTTTACCACACATCATCATAACATCCATGTAATACATCATACTCAACAAATTTAAAGTTCTGATGCATACAACCTTGTGGCAATACATGATTATAACAGGGTGAATAGCCATGTATAATTACAGGTAAAATAATTCCCAACAGTAAGATTCTATAATAAACCCTTATCTTTAAAGATTGATGTCAGGATCCAAGGATTATAAAATAGATAAACATGAGTTTTTCATTTTGACAATGCATTTTAAGGGTTCACAAAAGTTAAAATTTAGAAAAGAACCCTTGGATTTTGAAGATGGCTTTGCAAAGCTGAATAAACCAAAGCAAAATAAAATAGTCTAACAATATATAAATTGTATGTAATTAGCATACAACACATTTAATTTCATATATTTTATATGGCACAATCCTATCATGATTTCATTTTCTCAATTAGAGTCATCAAATTTTCATTATAATTAATTCAAACTACACATGTATACTGTGTACTAAATTTCCACTCCAATACGGTTGGCAGGTGATTAGATATGAAGCAGGGATTTTAACTACAAGACAGGCCTCCTTCCAATAACATACTTGTACCATTGACCATTGCACTCTTGTCGCTCAGCAAAAACAGGGTAGCATTCACAACATCTTCTAACTCTGGCAATGAAAACATTTCAGCAATTATGATAATATGTGTGCTTCAAGGTACTGGTATTCAGAGTGAAGTGTATTGGATTCTGTAACTAGCTTTATCTCCAACCAATATTTCACTTCATATACTATCACTCCAGACACTTGTTCTACAATTCAGGGCCAGTCTGTCATGTGCATCTATAATACAGTTAATATCTTTACAACCACAGGCATTTGCATCAGCAACTTCTCTGATCACTTCTACCAGATGTAAGAAAACTTATTAAATGTTTTCTTAAGAAGTGGAAATCACTGTATGTTAAGTTGCTATTCCTTAAATGCCTATAAACTTATCAAGCACTTAAAGTTTCACAGAAACTGTACTTTACAATGGAAAGAGATGCTCTGGAATCACAATAACATGTTCTTGTTAAAAAGGTTATGTTTTATAGAAGTGGGTTGAAAAACTGAAGGAGGTTTCTGGATAAGATTAACAATATAAAAACAATACGGACCAGTAACTCAGTAATACAGTAAAATCAAAGTACTTCTCATAAAAACAGCTCCATGTTATGATGATTATGCCTACAAAGATTGGAAGAGATCAGTAAAGACAGTTTAAAACTGTGAAGGGAGATCTCTGGAAAATGAAAGTTTACAATCCAGGAATGGATGTCATACCATAAATCATCCCTCAAATTTTACAAAGAGTATAGAAAAAGCTGATCAATACTAATAGACTACCAGCTGGAGGAATATTGAAAACATTTACAATAAATGTGTCAAGTTTCAATCATCCAGAGTTTATGTGTGTTGACTTACCTACAAACTTGTTTAGTGGAATCCTTGCTAAGAGAGGACCTGATTTAGCTGGATCACTCCATCCCTTTTTACCCATCTCTGTCCACACAACAGTTGGGTTCACACAATTCACTCTTATCTAAAAATCAGACAAAATGAAATGATATCACAATAATTTGTCAATGCTGTTTTGTTTGTGGCCCATATTAAATGATATATGAAATCTAAAAGACACTTACTCTCAAACACAATCTTGAAAAGTGGAATTTAACGTTTGGAATTAAAAATGCTAGGACAGCAGGAAAGTCCAGAATAATAGATGAAATCAAATACTATGCTCATCCTTAACTAATAGTTGAAGTGTTACACCATAGATCCATTGTAATGCTGATTGAGGAGTCTATAAATAAAACATCTTATAAAGGTTGAGAGACAAAAACTTCACTATTGTGATCCTGTCTATGACAGGATACACAGAACAACTAACCTTGAAAGGTCTAAGTTTTAGATTCATAGTGGGGGCCAAGTTATAGACACATATCCTTGGTGAGCTATGCCTAAAGCTAACAAACAGATCTATATACCTTATGGAGACCAAATTCCAGACACATCACGTAGGTTAGCAATGTCTATAAAGCCACAAATCTACTAATCTTGTGGGACCAAGTTCTAGACACATGGCCTTGGTGAGCGATAATTTACTTAACAGGACTACAAACATTGTGGGGTCCCGATTCAAGACACATGACCTTGGGGAAAGATGACTAACTGCACGGATCTATTTACCTCATGGGGACAAAATTCGAGACACATGACCTTAGTAGGTAATGGCTTACTTTGAGGTTGATGAGCGACATTGATATTGGAAAGATTTAACAATGTGTCGTTGAAATGTGAAGGAGATAGTGTAATAATGATAACCTTTGTAACATATTTTGATTCATTTTTCTCTGCTTCTATTGAGTTTGAAGGTAGACCTAATTTCAGAGTGTTGAGTACCATACAGTAGACGATATTCTCAATCTGAAGATCAATTTCAGTTAGTAGTATTACAATGAAGTGAAATCATATCACATGGTACTATCTCATACCTTTACTGGATAATTCTAAAGAAAATAATACATAAATCTAAAATCTCTCCCCGCTGTCCATTGTTTTATTGATCTACTTAGGTGAACATCCTGAGATAGACATGACAATTTTGAGATAGACCAGACAAATTTTGGGTATGTACACCAGAAATCAATATAAATAACAATTTCGACTGATAATCCATGCTTACAAACCTTTTCATATGTCTCGATTGACATTCTAAACTGAAACTATCGACAACTTCATTGGTTTGAAAAGGTGATAGTATGCTTGTTTTATGCATTTAATGAATTTTGTTGTTTTAAAACTCAACTGCAACTTGTGTTAAAATCAAAATTTGTTATCTAATCTCTAGCATATGCATAAAAACAAGCATTTTATCCCCTAAATGTACATAGATTTACTAGCATTGTCTAAACCAAGTTCAAGACACATGACCTTGGTGAAAGATGACATATAACACAGATATACATGTACTTACCTTGTGGGGACCAAGTTCCAGACACATGACCTTGGTGACAGATGACATACAACACAGATATACATGTACTAACCTTGTGGGGACCAAGTTCCAGACACATGGTCTTGGTGAGCATATCAACAGCACTTTTTGAGGCACTGTAGCATGTATGGTCTTGTAAAGCCTTTGTGGAAGCAATACTGGACATGTTGACTATAGAACCTCCCTGTCCTCTTTCAATCATTCCCTTTGCACACACCTGTTGACAAGTTTATCATAACACCATGCTGCCACTACTGACTTAAGATGTACCATTTGCTTTTGCACAGAATTGAAAATATGTAGCAACTGTATATACACACATACATGATACATTATGTATATGATATAAGAAAAGAATAACATGAAAGACCGATGAAATCCTGTATCATTTTGAATGTTACTGATGACTGACGATATGATAGAGAGTTTGTAATATTTCTACAAAAGGAGTGAAATAGGATCATACATCACTAATAAATTGAATGTTCACTATTCCTGTCTTCTGTAAATACAAAGCATTGAAAGATCTAAAATCATTAAGTTTTGCAAAATCTGAAGCATTCAGATTGTTTTTTTATAATATATCAAATACTGTATCTTGTATATTAACACTATCCAGTATCAAATAATGTTCATGTGTGAAAAACTACATGGTGTTAATAAAGGATTTTCTGAAAGTTTGTAACCATAATTCAATTCATATTACTTAAGTAACTACATGTAGTTAGAAATACAGAGACTTTGTGGTAGTACTTCATTTTACCAGGTGCCCCATTGGCAAGCATCAATATAATAAACAGATGTCATACAAATTTTGAAAGTAAAAATTTAAAGGTTTTCAAGGGTTTTTCAAAACATTTTTCATAAAATTCAGGAGCAATGTGTAGTGTATATTTTTAACATAAAACAACATCTGTATTATTTTCATCTTTAATGCAGAGTTTACTCATATCGCTCAGCCTCATTTTTTTCAGTCACATGTTTCAAACATTCTATCTTCTCTGATATACTGGTTTCCAACTTCTTCAGTTCCTCTGACTTATCTTTTGATTGCTTTCTTATACATGTAAACTATGACTCAGAAACAGTGATTTCTTTATAATCCTTACATGAATATCCATTTGCTTTGAGTGAACCTTTTTATTTTTTGATGACTCAAACATTACTGAATAGTGTCTATTAATCCTCTGAACCAATTCAATCTTGAAATGTTCAGAAATGCCAAATACTGCTAGATAAAGAAGACTTTCTTTCCCATACGTAACTTCTTGTGCTATTTAAATGTTCTAAAAAAAAAACTGGTAAAAATCATGATACATCATCATTTGATTTGTATGATCTGTGTTGATATTTCATTTCATGAAAAAAAGTCACTAACACTGGCCTGAGATGGATTTCTTGTCCTTGGTAAAGATATTCTCCCTAGATCTATTAGTTTGTTACACAAACAACTGTTTGCAATGTGTTTATCTCCTTTGAATTCATGGATCAAGTTTCGATACTTTGGATCTTACGATCATTTTTGATTGAAGGTACACTTCCCCATACTTTTGTAAATGCTTCAACATATTCGATAGACCACAAGCACTGTGCTAACTGAGATTGATGATGTGAATCTGATCAAAAACTATCTTAATTTACCCACAACTACGAAAACAATCAGTAAATTTATAAAAAGATAACCTGGTGTTAAAAGTCATCACATTATCTTTAACAAAAAACCAACTTACACTGAAGGAAAGTCCATGATAGTTGTAAGAACACTTAAAATTACTACAGTTTAAGGGTTTTTCAAGAACTTTGATACTTTTTAAGGGTTTTTTGAGGCTCATAGTCATTTTTAAGGGTTTTCAAGAAAGACATTGAATTCAAGGGTTTTTCAAGATGTGTGACGCCTTGGAAAGCTTATTATTGAATCAATAAAGATATAATAAGCAAAGGGTGATATTTTAAATGAAGGTTCTTTTGAGGTCTCTTGGTGTAATTGGAAAGATACTCAACCAATTCTGAGAAATTGGTGGACTATTCAAAGGTGCAATACAGAAAATTAATTTATATGAATTTTTGAACTTCAGTATTTCATTGTCAATTACACCAGTTTTATTCAATTCCATTGTTTTACTTCTTTTCAAGTAAAGAAGATAAAAAATTATGTAAAGGAACTAGCAACAATATCTTCCCACCTACAGTCCATTCATGTACACAGTTACTAATTCAAACAGTCAAGATAAGACATAAGATATCATAGATGTGCTTGGATTCATATAACATTTATAACTGTAAATTTACCTGTGACACATTCACTATGGACTTGACATTGATGTCAAAGGTACTGAAAAGAGAAACAAATTAGTACTTTAATGAATATATTCATAAAGAAGTACAGTTATATTTTCTCGTGACATTTCCAGATCATTGAAATGAGAATAAAACATTACAATCAAAGGGGCATATTAACATTACTAAGTGAACTAGGACTGTTGTCCCAAGGCCGGAAGGCTAAACCACCCCCTCCCCTCCTCCTCCAACAGAGTTATTCGTAGAATAACAAAATTTTTATATTATCACCCATTAACATAAAAACAAATGACGTCATTTTTCAATGTCATGTTTGATTTGCGAATGCAGTGGTGTAAGAAACTGTTAAATATATGTCAAAATTATTGCACTCTTTGATTGAATTTTAGGGATTTATTTCGATCGGTTTTTTTTTTTATGTTGTCAATCCGTAACACGAAAATCAGAGCATACTCTTGAATTAAACCCTCTTGTGTTTTTTATTTAGAGTACGTTAAGAATTTTTGGGGTACAACTTGTTAACAACCACTCATATAATTGGTGAAAAGTTAGTGTTAGTCATTTAAGAAACTAAATATATTCATTAAGTGATACAGGCTAAGGGATATAAATGCATGATGACATGGAACATATTTTAAGCTGAGAGTAATCAATATGATGAATCTGATCATGTCTATCATGCAAGGGTGGCCTCCCTTGCTGCAGAAAGCTAGAACGAGCAGTTCGGGGAGTTGGGGGTTATTTATCAGCCTTATTGATAAGAATATAGACTCCATGATTTCCATCTGGTTAAATGTTTCCTCATCAAATAAATCCAAAATGCTTTCGTCCTCAAGTTGTTAGAACATTTACTTTGTTTTTATCAAATTCTGCACAATGAACAGTAATAAACTGACATCTCTTTTCATTTTTCAAAATTAACAATGACTCTGAGATGAGATAAAATGAATAAATCAAGACAATTCTTGTGAAGTTCAGATGACAAAGATAAAGTTAAGAGATACCATCCAAATGCAAGGGACTCTTTTTACTTGTCACAAATGAACATACAATGAATCCTATACACTATATCATGGCTTAGATGAATGGTCAAGATTTATCTGAATGAAATGATAACCAGTAGCTTACAAAGGATTTATCTGAATGAAATGATAACCAGTAGCTTACAAATCTAGTTCTTCCTTCTTCACTTCCATGAATGGTGCATTCCATGCCGCTCCAGCATTGTTCACCAGGAGATCAATGGGACCAAGTTGTTCTATGATTTTCCTTGATCCATCCCAATCTGCTAAATCTGCCTGCACAATGTGCATGCTGGGTACCTGTAAAAAATACCATTTCCAAAACTTTTATGAGTAAATCACAGTATGTGAAGATATCACAGGTTCCCTAAACTTTGGGTGACACACACAGGTAAGGCAGGGAGTCCAGGACTCAAAGCATCAGAGACCTGACAATATCTGTATCATGTTTACTTGACAATGCTTGTTAATGGTTTGAAACACTAATGTTTTTGAGATCAATCAGAAGGCAGAATACCAAAATTCAATAAAGATTCTTCCACAATCTATTGAGAATGTTTTAGTGATATGGGAAGATAACTGAATATAACTGGTTTTCACATCCCATCCAAAAATCCTACAAAAAAAAGTATGATGATATTAACTAATGTTATTATGTAGTTTTATTTTCGGAAGTGTAGAACACTTTACAATTATGTAGTGTTTGTTTCCTGATTCAGATTACCTGTATCAATTGGGGAAATATTGCAACTGTACATATGTGTTTTCTTAAAAATTAGAAACTAAAAACAGAACCAACACTCCAGTCATTTCAAATAGCAGTATGGAAGTACAATTTTGCGGCTCAAGAAGGTTAAAGTTAGGTAAACACTGAAACATTATGGATACATCACATTTTGACATCATAATTATCCTAGGACTACTGTGATTAGCTGTGTTATTCTATAATTAATGGCAGTGTATTAGCTTATATTCAATTGTATCTAACACATAGTTAATGTTTTCACATATAAATGCTAGAAACTTTTTAAAAATTAGGTATTCTGAATAAGAATTGAAATTAACAAGAGATCTAGCAGTCTAGCAATTTCACTAAATAGTGCACATAACAAAAATTTTGAGTTTGAAATCTTCTGTCAGTGTTCATTGTCATTTTCTGCAGACCAACTACAACATTGGTTCTCATGTCAAATACACTAGATATGTCGCAGCAAAATGTAATGGTTTACTTATAATCCTGTAGAATCATTGGGCACAAATTTCCAACCTGTCACTCCATAATCTGATCTCATGTACATTATGGATTCTGTATCATACATACAATGTATGTATGTGGACCAGGGAATTTGGAATATATAGCAAAGTTTGTCCCTGTGGGCTGACTCACTGTTTAATAAAAAAGGAAGTTCATTGTGCTAAATAAAGTAGAAGAATAATTTCAAATTAAATTAATCATTGATTCAAAATTAAACTCCTGCTATTATACCAAAACAAAATAACTGACTTGGTTGACCACACAAAAATGTCTAACTTCTGCACATGAGCAGCATATTATCAGCACATGATAAGTAAGCTAGAAATATATGCAAATTAACTTTTCCACATAAGCAGCAAGTTAGTTTGTGTTAGTGAAGAACTTGCTCACCTTAATGCTCATGTGCGATTATTTGTGGGCCCTCATTTGGGGATTTCTGGGAACACTGGGAAAGAATTTGATCTTCCTGTCATGTGAGTTTTATTTCACACATCAGCTTAAACTGGTATATTGTACATGCCCTTTTTCTGCTCTTGTGGGCATTAATTTTCTCATAGAAGAAACATGCTCACAAGAAATTAAAGCCTTGTTTGCAAGTGAAATATTGGAATCTCGTGTGCATATTCCAAGCAAATTTTGGAATAGGAGCTTCTTTATTGACAATGGACAATGTTAATGGATACTAGTGTGATACGTGAGAATGATAGATGGGAAGTACACATACATGTATTAAAGGTTTTATAATCAATTTTTGTAACAGTGATACAGTTATACTGCTACTAATCTAATAGTACTCACCTCAGACTTCAAAGAGTCCAGACCCTCTTTGGTCTTACTCAGAGCATATGTTTCTGCACCGCATTCCACTAGTTTCTTTGCAATCTCTCGCCCAATGCCTTTGTTATTAATGAGAACAACAAAAAGAATTTTGTGTTATGTAATCATCAGTAAAAGGGATGCAAATGAAAATTTATAATTGTTGAAAGGGAATAACTCAAATAACAACAGAGGAACATTAACATAGTGCCGACAAGTATTTTTTAAATCTGTCTTTTTTTGTTTTAATTTAAGGTTAGTTGTTACAATCAAAATAAACAATGAAGCTGTGCCAACATGTAAGTATATTGTCAGTTTTTCGAAAATTCATCTTTCCTTAATGTTGTGTACCTATTTTCTCGAATAATGCTTGTTCCATCCAAAAAGAAACAAAACGAAAATGTTTCTACAAAAATGTCAATAATTGTATCATTCTCAACACGAGCTGCATTGGTGTGCATTCAATTGCAGCCTTCACGACAAAAACAAAATAAACCAAACAAAATATCAGAGAAACTTGTCAGATCAACCAATAGACAGATATAGGCACATTATACACGTTATATATAAATTTGCATGTTCACTAAAGAACCATAATTAGTTTAGACTCTTTGCAAACTATCAAATATATCTCTTCTGATTATGTCTTTTGGATTTGTGTGGTGAGACCTATACAGGAAGCTCTGCAGTGCAACATCCGTACGCTGTATGGTGGCAACAAAGAAAATGTGAGTCTGGTAAGCCTTTACAAATATATACTGTTGTGTCTTGTTCTTTTTAAGAACCATGACAAACTCCACATTGCACAGTATGTACAACTTTATTCATCTATATCTAGGCAAGACCTTCTATACAAAGAGCAAAGCATCCAATCTAACTACAATGCATCTACAATGTCCATAATGCAGAGCCTAACCAATTAATACAGATTATCAGGTATCAGACTTAAACACCAAGACTTCCGAGACTGAGACAGCCAGTGACCTTATGATTATGGTGAACGTTAATCCAATTAACTGTTAGTTTGAAAATACTACATATACATTTGTAGGTGCTACATCTAAGACAAAGAACAACTGTCATTGATCGGGAAAATATCATACTTTCTATTACTGCAATAAATAATCTTCCTAAGGTTTGATTTCTGCAAGTTTTGAATTTACAGTTAAAAGATTTAATTCAATGCCTCTTGTCGGTGGTGTAACATATTTCTAAGTTATTGATATTGAGTTTGTATCTATTGGAAAAGATCTAATCGAAACGGTGCATTTTAAGAAATATTTTGTTGTTTTATAGACATATCCTTTTTCCAAACACAACAAATTTTCAATTTACTATTTTACTAAAGAAATATGATTATCCATAAACCGATCTTCAAGTGTTGTTTCTTGACAAAAGTTATAGCATGCCAAAGATTTTTTTTCAAATCGACCATTAAATTTAAAGTATGAGTTGTTTGTAAAGATAACACACATCATAACAAGAAGGGAATAAAAATTAGAAGAAATGATCCAAATTATTAGAGTGTTATGATATATATATATAGTATTTGATATACCAAAAAAGGTTGTTATTATCATATTTGCTGTTTTTAAATTTGTTGTAATCAATTTTACTTCTACTCAATGTTCAAGTTTTATTAAAATCTGATGCATTAAAACAGTAAAACATTAGCTCTTATGAGACATATAACAATAAAAGACATGCATATTTTCATAAATAAGACACACAATACAGTTTATAAAACATCACGACATTCTGTTTATGGATGTTTTGTGTGCTGTGTTTACATGTGTTGCATCTGCAGAGTGGCCCGTACCAGCTGTTTACGAGTGTTTTTGTGTGAGTGTATTTGTTGTTCTGAAGTGGCCTAGCATGGCATTTCATATTTTTGGTGCTTGGTGATCTAAAAATCGTTTTCCATATGTTGTGGTCCTAACATGTGACATGTCTGATGTGTTGTATTATGGGAATGTGTAGGATTTTTCTGTAATGTTGATAAGATCTTGCAGGTCAGTGGATGTTTGTGTGTGATCTTGTAAGGTAATTTTGAGCGGTAGAGTAAAATTTTGTATCTGCTGTCTTATTTGCATCATATTGCAATTACTAGATGGCAAAGTAAACATTGTATTCGGCTGTCGTATGATTTCAGACTTTTTAGGCCTCATATAAAGTGATGCAAGCTGTATGTCTGTGAGGTAAAACTTGTTCATTCGCAATTCTACACCCCAGTTTGCTACAACTATGTTTACACATGGGTCTGGTGATAGTTGCCAAACTTATCCTATATTTACATTTTATTGTGACAGTTTTGTTCAAAATTTCAAAAAAAAATGTCACGAAATGTACAGCGTTACCTTTCCCGGCACCTGTCACGAGTGCTCGCTTCCCCTGAAATGAGATTTCCATTTTGTAAAGGAGACTGACCTAAAACCGCAGGCAAATGCAGACGAATGCGTTCCGACAGTGTCGTCAAAGTGTTTGTAGGTACTCCTTTTTGGTAAACATTTGTTTAACTCTGATTAGAATCAGGGTCTGTGTGGTGTTTTAAGGAAAAAAGAAAAGGTGAAGCTTTTGGAAGACACAGATTAATAGAAAAATGCCTTGACGCTGGAGTTGACTGTCTACAACAAACTTGCAATATGTTTTTATTTTCTTCAGAGGAAAGAAAGACTGTAATCAAGTCAAAATAAAACGAAAGAAGATCATCACAGTAAGTTTACAATAACACATTAGTCACTTACTCTAAACTGTTTTTAATTCGACACATTTTGACCTTGTGTCAAGCTTATGAACTCGCTCATGTCACAGAATAAAATCAACATGTCAACATCCGATGATCCGATAATCATCGACAGTCACCTGTGGGGGTTAGTTATACCTAGACAAAAAACTTCAATCTGTACATGTGAATTCAACAGAATATATTTGTATTCAAAAACTTTAATCTGTTTTTGTGAATTCAACAAAACAAAATATATTTGAATTATCTATTTGACCAAATAGGTGTCGACTTGACCAAATTAGGGTCGAGTTTAACAGGTGTCGACTTGATCGGGTGTCGACTTGGCTGTCATTCTTAGCACCGTGACTGTAAATTGAGAAATAAATATCAAATTATAGCTATCAAATAAGAAAATAAGGGCATAACCCTTTTAAAAAGTTATAACAGTTTTTTAAATGATATCTATCTAGATCTAAATTGCACTCAAAATTTCAAACATCAGTACATGTATATGTGTAATCCCTTCTGGGATTCCACCTTGGGACTCATTTATGTCGGAAGTTTGTAAATTCATAATGTCCCTCAGCAGGTAATCACAATTACATTTACATCAAATTAGATATATACCTTTATCATAAAGTACATTACTGGGAGACGAAATTAATACATTTCAATGTAATGAAGGTTGGGACTGAATTCAAACCCAAATTGTACGCATGTACACATATTTATGGTGTGATAAATGTATTAATACAAGGTCTCAAAGAATTCTTTCGAACTTATTACAGCAAAATCATAATGTTGTTCAGAGATACAGGAGTTTTCCTTTGTACCTATAAAAATGAAGCATTTCAGTGCAGTTACAAAAGTAAAAATTTAATAATATAAAAAAATATACATATCTCTTTCTTTAATGTTTACAGTATCACCTATAAAGATTGAGAGAAAGAGGTTGGACCAATCAGAACATGTCTCCATCAACAAACTCTACACTAGCAACCTGTTTTGGATGATGTAGCTGTGTTGCTCGTTATTGATGATATTAAATGACCTACAGTCTACACATATCCTAATTAACATTAACAGAAAAAAGTTTTGCCAATGTTTGTCATTGCAACAAATTTATGTGATAAGTATGTGATGTTGGCTGGAAGACTTTCATCAGTTTTGATGTTTTTCTTCCGCTTTGCCTGGCAATCCAGATTCACCCTACCAAGCATCCTTGTAACAGCATGGACACTTAACATTCGAGTGAGAGTAGAGATTGAATTTCAAAATGTAGGCTGAGATATATCCAGAAATTCAATTGTTTATTTTATTGATACATTTGAATGTAAGTTATAGCTGACTGTCATAATGTAATCACTTGAAAATTTGTTTTTACTTCACATTCCGTCCAAAGAAACTGTGATATTTTAGTTACAATGAGTCGAGGTGTAAGAGACTTGCGTGACCTGATATGTGTTTCTCGCTTAACCTTTCGGGACAGTGATGATGAAGAGCCCCAATTTCTCACTGACGATGAAGTGGTAGCCAAAGAATTTGATCAGTTGTCAATCAGTAGTTCTGACTCGGTGGGAGGGGTAGAATCTACAAATGGAGGGAGGCATATATCCCCTGACTCTGGGTGTGTTACAAATGGCAGCACACCTCCAGAATTGCCAGTGGAGGAGGATACACACTTATCCACAACACCGGTTGTTGTTAAGTCTCCACCTGTCCCTACCAAAGTTGGCAGAACCAGAAGGAAGAAAAAGAGGGTTCACAAAGTACTAAGTACAGAACCCACTAGACATGAACTACCAAAACCACCAAGAATTCCTCCATTGCGCTCACAATATAAAACAAACTTTAGTTCTGACAATGATTCAGATGTAGACATGGAGTCACAGCCTTTGCAGAGATATGGTTCACAGATAGCCAATTCTAGGAAGTCACAGGCACAGGGAAACTTTGATGAAGTTCTGTGCTACATGGATGCTACTGTTGTCTCCAATTGGTTGGAAAGAGCCAACAGGATGGTAACAGAGATAACAAGCTATTGTAATAGTGAAGACAACTTTGTAACATTTGCACATTTTTGGTTTTCTGGTTTTGAAGATGTCCAGAAGATTGAATTGTTTGATTTAGAACATAGCATTTTAGTTGAGGAAATGAGCTTTGCGTTTGCTGTAGGAAAGGACCAGGGAAAAGTGAATCAAAGAGACATCAATAACTTTATTAGAGCCTTGTTCCGGGAATATCCTGACAAATTGCTTAGTGCAAAGGGACCCAATATGTTCTTGAACCATTTGGATGTTCTGTCATCACAGAAACATACTCAGTATAAAAAGTTGTTGTCAGATGTCAAATGTTCTACCAAAAACAAACAGTATGCCCAGTGGATACTGGCCACTCGTTCATTTGCCTTAGTCAGTGTGTGGTCAGCAGTAGTGAACTTTTACCGCAACCTACTAGGGAAGGTATCACCCCCAAGGCCACCCTCCAGTCGCCTGAGTGTAGAGGAGGACATCAACCTAACCAGATTAGGACAGGCCATCAGACTGGGATTTGTGGATGTGGTGCACTACTACTTTACGGAAGGTCATATCAAGCCGCACTACATTGATACACATGGCCGTACCTTCATCTTTTCTGCTGTCATGTACAACCAGTGTGATGTGCTGCACTACCTCATCAACAGGGTAAGTTTTTTACCAAAAATATATACTACCGGTACACTTAATCTCATCACTCGGATATGCACTGTAAGCTGTATTTTCTCATCAACAGGATAAGTACTGAAACTGTATTTCCTCATTGGTCTAGCTCTTCAATGGGGTAAATACTAAAGTTGCACTTCCACATTCACAAAGTATATATACCGGCATAATGGGAAGTTTTGAAGCTGTCCTTTCACAGCAATAGGCAAAGTACTGAAGATGTACTTCTTCATTAACAAGGTACTGCTGGTTCTGTCGTTTATAGAAAATCAGTGACAAAGTTGTACTTTCTTACCAAAAGGGTCAGTACAGTATCTCTTCTTATCAGAATTGTTTTTATTACTTGCCTTTACATATGTAGCTAACAGGTATTCTTGCTCTATAACACTAGCAACAATGTCATCAAAACCCACATTTGATCGTACTACATGTATCGCTTATCAAAGTAAATAAAGGAACGTAGAAAGACTAATTTATAGAGACAATGACTGTCAAACAGTGACAATAAAAGCATTTTATAGGAAACACTAAGAGTGTTTTAACTTGTACCTAGATATTGAAGGTCATTCCAAAGAGCCTTTAATTTTAGAAGGAAAAAATATTCATTTTATTTTGCTGTTTTTAATACTAATGTGATCCTACTTTATTTCAAGTGATTTAAAAATATTGAAAATTTATGCACGTATTAGGTGAAGCCTGCAATAGATGTGAACCAGGCAGCAGACACTGGAAACACTCCTCTTCATGCAGCAGCAAACACTGGCAATAATCGCCTGGTGGAGATTCTGTTGCGATGTCCCAACATCAGCGTGAACTCGATTAACCCCCAGTGTGAGGATGCTACACCTCTTCACCTTGCAGTCATGCATGGTATTGATTATTGTATATAATTATAACAAAAACTGATCTACATGAGATGTGAATTTAGGAAAATAATTGACATCCTGGATAGTCCAGGGATTACACTAATTATCACTCCCTGCACCCCTGCAAAATAGAAGGCACAAGGGAAGTCATTTGAATGACTGACCAATCACAGACTGATATGCTCCTTTGAAGGTTAATAAGGAGTGACACCTAACTTTAAAGCCATTGCAACATACTGTTACATGATCTTAAGATTTGTTTGATGTATTTAAAAAGATCAAATGTCTTCTCCTGTTATCCACAAGATGTTGCATATAGGACCTTCAATTTCACCATGAAATTTTTCAGGGGTGCAGATAGTGAAAGTGATCATAACCCCTAGAGTATTGAGGATGAGTAATGATGGTAATAACTTATAACATAGTCACATTTTCATAATGATATTTTATGTTTGTATCGGGCCTTTTGATGTAAAGACTGGTGAATATCATTATGCTTACCACATACTTGTGTACTTTTAATATACAACATAGTTTTGACCCAAAGCAGTTGGACTACACAAACCATGGATATGTATACTGTACACGATCTTTTATAGGAAAGTAATCTTTTTTTTATTTAATCATGTTTAATATTTGCTTTGCAGGTCACAAAACTGTTGTTGAAATGCTTGTTAAGGCCAAAGCAGACTTGTCTCTGAAGATGGGAGAATTGAAAGCAGAGGACATTGCTAAGCAGTTTGGTAGCTTTTCTACATTAAAGGTGCTAAGAGATTCCTGCTGACCTTATTAGCATGCTCAATGCATTATGTGTCTTATTGCCGATATGCCAAGCATTTCATGTAGTGTGAAAAATCAGTGGTCCTCGGCATTATATGTTGGTGACAAGAGAACAAGCAATTGTTCACTCTTCAATGTTTGTGGACATTTTTAAAACACAAAGTGTGGAAGGAAAGCACTATTTATAACTTGTTTGTTGACAGTTTATATTTTGTCAGAATTTTTGTATCATGACTGCCATGTTTGCTATATTTCTGTACTTCATTTCATAGACATATTCAATGAACTTACACATAGACACAGAACAATCAACAACCTATCATATTCAAAATAATGTCTGAAACAACAGATGAAATCTAGTTTTACTGGAGAACTCGTTTATTTATAGAAATCTTTGGATTAAATTTTTAAACAGATTACATTATTGTACTGAGTGCCGACAAACTGTCAGTAATATCAATAACTTTATGATAATGTGCACTTGGAACTTAATCTACAGAAAACAAAACATTAACATATGATATATTTTGGATAGATTCATGTGCACTTGATAATGTTGTGGATATGAACATATTTTACTGAGGTAATGTTGCGTTATAGCAATGAGAATTTTAGAATGACTTGATAATTAGGATGTTTTGAAGGACTGTGTGAGTTCCATGAATATTTGATGTTCTTAACATGTAAATAGATCATACACTAAGTATTTATTCTGTCACAGAGTGTAGCACAGCCCTCTGTCACAGAGTGTAGTACCGCTCTCTGTCACAGAGTTTAGTACAGCTCTCTGTCACTGTGTGTAGTACCGCTCTCTGTCACAGAGTGTAGTAACGCTCTCTGTCACAGAGTGTAGTACAGCCCTCTGTCACTGAGTGTAGTACAGCTCTCTGTCACAGAGTGTAGTACAGCCCTCTGTCACAGTGTGTAGTACAGCCCTCTGTCACAGAGTGTAGTACCGCTCTCTGTTTTTAATCATTTAAGAAATTTGCATTCCACTGTTTCTGATTCAGAATCAGTGAGATGCATTACATTATAACAATAGTCATTTTGTGTGCATTGTAATTCTTAAAACTTCATCCCTCTCTTAAGTAAATGCCCAATTCCAGAACCAGATTCATCAGAATGGAGACACATGACAACAAATTTATTCAAAAGCAAATCGGTCAGCTTAACGCATTTAAAATGCACATATTAAACCTTGGAGCTTTAGAAAGCATTGCATAATCATTTTTCATCAACAAGAGTCATAATGTATTGTACCTGGTAGTTTTTAGTAAATCTGAATTAAAACAGACCATATCTGGTATGAAATGCCTTTGATACCTTGAATTATATATTGATCTGTTACAGTTATATTTACAAACAATGTTTTGTTTCCTACATATATATTCTTAACATTGATATAAAATGTATGGAAAGTTTTCTGACATTTCTCAAACCATGGTGACCTCATTTTATCATAATTTCATACCTACCACTGACTGATCAAATTTAGAAAAAAAATCTTAATATAATTTATTAACTTTGAAAAGAATTTGTTTTCTGAATACATGATGTGAAACAGCATTGGTGCTTTGTGTGCTTTATTGTCATAATATTCGGATGGAAGTAAATATTTATTTTCAACTTACTGTGCTTACATGTTTTAGATATTGAATTCATATACTAAACAAATTTGGCAGAAAGATAATGAAAATACATTGTACACTCTAATATTGTTTGTTAGATGAAAGATATTGTCAGAAATAACTGGTAAAATAATTACCAATGAAGTTTTGAAAAATGCAAGGATGCATTTACATTAAAATGAAGGAATGTAATAAAGCTCACTACACTTAACCCACATAAGTTCTGGGTTGAAAATCGCTTTTAAACTATTTTTGCATCCATTTATACAGTAAGGGGAGAGTCATATGCAATTAATCTTTCGTGTGATTGGTCTTGGTAAGTCAGAATATTATGTAATTAGAGGATATAACTTACTGTTTGGAGAAATCATACTATTATTTTTTTGCCCTGCAAGTAATTTTGAGGAAACAATAAAAGTGTAGTTGCACTATAGACCTCACAGATCCCAAGTGGTACTGTGTTAGCACTAGTCAGCTGATTTCAGACATACATGTATGTAATCACTGAGATTTGTTGAAGCCCATCAAACCACAGGGGCATGTCAAAATAGATTTTCAAATTTAGATTTGCTTCAAAGATTTACAGAGTCAGTGATTTGTGGTTTGGGTAGATTTGAACTTTAAAGTCTATTGCCACATGTCTTTGTGATGAAACTCTTACTGTTTTGAGGAATACAGGTACATCATGTATGTACTCCTTATCTTTTAGCTTCTGTGATATATCGATTGTAAAACTGCTCCAGGAGACAAGAATTCTTTTATATAATAAAGTGTTTGTTATATTGATGTATGGTATTTTGTTGTGTTGGATGTATGACGCAGGCTCTGTCACAATTTGGTCCTGTGGGTTATCATGCCTTATATCTATTGTCAATACAGAATGACCGATTTGCTTTCTGTTCGCTACTAATTGAAGTTTTCAATGAATAACACATTCGTGGGTATTTACAAACTTTGATGTTTTTGATAGGTGTTTGACTATCTCCTGTCTGGGTCTCATTTAGTTGTCGATTTTACGTCATATATTTTATTTGAGTGATCTCCCTTTGAGCTGGTGTCAGAGTTGCTTTCACTTCGCGGTGCTGACTTTAGTCGTGTTTCTTATTTAACGTGTTAATTAATTCTTCCTTAATAAGTTATAAAATGGACTGACATGTAAATGTTTTCTGTTGAAGAGTTAAGAGTTTAAAGAGTTAAGGAGGACATCAACTTTCGACGGAGATGCGCCGAATTACCCAACCAAAAATATGCACAACTGTTGCTGGCCCGCCACGTCACATTAGTGAGAACTTGTTCTCCCGTCTGTGAGCTGCCGTGTCAGCCTAGTGAACAATTGTTCTTCCTCGGGTGAACCGTTGTTTCATCGTAAAGAGAACTTGCACTTTCGATGATGAACTCTCCGATCATCTTAAGGAGACGTTGCACCACTGAATCATTGTAGAGAGAACCGGAGCTTCTGGTGATGAACTGTGGTATCACCTTAGTGAGAACCTGTACTGCTATTGATTAAGCGCCCTAACGAAAACCAGAACTTACGTTGGCGACCCATTAAAACCACCTCATTACATCACGCTACCGAGAATTTGAACCCGTGTTGTTGAACCGCCTTAGCGAAAACTTGTACTTCTCCATGTGAACCGCCATGTCACCCTGTCAGAACTCGTACATTGTTGAGAATCATCCCATAATTCCCAAGTACCACTTTAGTGGTGATGCGTACTTATTCCGCTTTAACGAATGTTTGTTGTTTCAAGTTTAAATTCAGATGTTTTCAAACAAATGAACATGTATTATTGATTTTCATTTTTTTTGTAAGGACTAAGATGTGTTTGAAATGTGTAAATAGCTATTGAGATCTGTGTCCTTTATGAAAAATACAACCATACAATTCCATATTTAGACGACAAATAATAAAGGAAGAAGAAATATCCTCTAATTGCCTGGGAATGAAGTACTGTTGGATATCTCAAAAATTAAATCATCCTTTGTCCGTATCGATTGAATCCTTGAGATGCACTAATTACACTGGTGTTGAGAGTTTGAACGCATTATTGATTACAGCACCATTCATTCCCAGCACCCGACCACAGGCTTCTTATAATTCTGTATTTTGTGGCTTAAGTATATTTACTATTGCTTTTAGTGAAAAAGAACGGCACTAATGAAAATAAGGGACAAATCCTTTCGAACTTCTCCGGACCTGTGTTCGATCCTTGTGAATGCAGAGACGTTAATAATATAAAATCAATGTAGTGGTTATGAATACAAATCCCGAAAGTCATAACTGTTATATAAAGTGTATCTGAAGAATTATTCAATCAAAACCAAAACGCACAACGGACATTTATGTTACGGTTAGATTTCAGATACATTGTTATTAATCTAGGTACATACAATTTTCCCATTATTCTATGTCAATATCATACTAATCGGCTGAAACTCTATCTCAGATCTGGTGAAACCTTAATGCGATAGTTGTAATTGTATCCTAACTAATTAACTATTAACATTCGTCCGTCAGTAAAATCTCCTCTACAGGACGAATACTTTTGCCTGCCTGCTTTAACTTCTTCACAGAAATGGCGAAAAGTTTATTTCCCAAACCTTGACGAAATGTTCTGCTTGAAATTAAGCTAGAATTTTCAGTTATTTTGAAAATCATGAAGATTTATCAGGGATAAAATATTTTTCCTATACTAATGTGGTGTCAAACATTAACGATCTTGAACCACATCGTGATATATTGAAATGATCGTTTTTTCCAATACTTTTCAATTATGAATGATAGTGGTTTGGTTCTGAAAACAATTATTCGATCTCTTACATCGGTGTGTAAATAAATCATACCAATATAATACTTACGGCGATAACGAGACAGAAGTAGGATCAATGATTCTATTTAAACCACAGACGAAGTGTATTTGACAATAGAACATGAGGACAGCTGGCTGTGTATGATTGCACCTTGACGAAGCAGTTATGTACTTCATTGCGCTGGTCCTGTCCTCTCTGACCGGTGAGTTATTTTACTCTTGCATTTATAAGTTGATAGCATATGATTTTTTTTTCTGAAGTGCAAATTCAACGTTCATGGAACATTCTATTTACCATATATTATACGTATTTTTTAAACTTACTTTCATCATTTTTAAGTCACATGTATCATTGAGGATTGAAGAGATCATTCAAAGTCAACAATGTATACAAGACATCGCTGGATCCTTCCGTTGTATCTATGTATGTATCTGTCCCTAGAGTATCGGGGACATATTGGTGCTTCACTTTTGATACATTATATTAATGTAAACTTCTTGTTGATTAACTTTAACTTCTGATAATGTTATATCTTGAACACAATGTAAATCCTTATCTAAACTCAAAATAAATAAAATGTGGTGAAAAAGGAACAGATTGAACGATTAAAAAAATTATTACGGAAACTTGAATATTAATCAGATAGGGAAAGCGTTTTCTGTTTTATCGACATTCTCAAAAATGAGAGCAAAATGAGAACTAGACTTCTTATTACGAAACCATTTTGTATACAAACTTTTAAACTAATGGCAGTCATTCTGTACGTAACTTATAACCATGGTTTTCAAATCAGTTGTTACAGTAACCAATTGCTCCTTAGTGTTCCATACATACCCATAACTATACTATCACTTACATATACATTACAATGATATTTTTACATTTTTTTTTCAAAACGTTTGCATCTTTTCAACAAAAAAAAGTACAGTATTTTTCCGAAACGGATAGTGCACATTTTTCAAAATATGCATTGCACTTTTCAAAATATGTAGGACACATTTTCAAAATACAAAGTGCAATTTTCAAAACATTTATTGCACTTGTAACTTCTTAACTTTTTCAGTAACACGATGTGATATACGAGTTTATACAAAGAGTATAGCCTGTGCTTATTAAAACACCATTACTTAGCATGGTCATCGGTATTCAGGCTGTAACCAACCTATTAATTGTTGCCATCTTTTAAGATCTATTCCAAAGTACTCCTGTACTTGATCTGCATCACTTGATCTATAACTATAAAGATATGTACAAATCATTGTTAGTATTCATGTCTTTTGCAGTTTTCACCAATCAGAAATGTTCTTTGAAATTCACCAATTTATTTGTTCAGTCGCATATGAAACAAATGCTGACTAAGTTTGATTTACAGAAAACTTTTTGTAAACTTTAGGGGTTTCTTTGATCTAGTGTTTGATAACAGTTTCGTAAACAACCCAAATAACGATAAAACGGGTATAGCGGCTAACTTATCACGGCACCACCGTAACGTCACAACTCTCTGACATCACAAAAAAACCACCAATACTCCTCAACTGTTTTTAGCAGTTATTAACATGTACTTTATGATTAGTTTTGCTAGTTGCTTTTCCTTTAGAATTATCTTAAAAAGATCAAAGAATGGTAAACCATTTGTTATCATATATCATAAAATAATATCGGTATTCTGTCATACATGGGAAATGCAGTTATGTACATGTTTCTTAATGAAAACCATTAGATGTCCTGTCCTTGTAAGTTAATTGTTAGGTAGCTTAATCGCTGTAAACAATATCTTGTCTTTTCAGTAGTGCACCACGTGACATCCAGTTCTGCAAAATTTCGTCACATGATCGGCTTTACGGCAAACAGGTTTATGGAAAATAGTACTCTGCAGATAAATATACTTAACCCTAATACGAACACCACGAACGTGTCTTTACTCTCTGATCTACACTATCCATTTTTTGAATATGATTATCAAATTGATCCAGAATACTTCAAAACAATTACTATACCTTCGATGCTTGCGGTCAATGAATCTGTGAAATGTGCCAAAGGAATCCTGATAAACTCCGACCACCCCATAATTGTCTATGGGAGCAACAGGCAGTCGGGCTACATGGACGACTCGATGGATGACTTCCTAGGTATTCCACAGAGAGCCCTCGGAAAACAGTACTTTGTTGTCACTGGCTTAAAGAGGCCACAGATACTGGTTGTCGGCCTTGCCAGGAACACATTTGTGAACATAACTTTGAAAACAAACGGCATCGTGTCATATCAGGGCAATACTTATCAATCAGGACAAAAGATAGAGGAAATGTTGAATGAGTATGAGACAATCAATATAGAAAGTACAGAAATCGACGTGGATTTGACAGGAACAAAGGTACGGTCAACCCAACCAGTAAGTGTATACAGTGGCAGCAAGTATTCGGGATCAAGTTATCTAACCGAACAGATTCCGTCTACAATTTCTTTGGGTATACATCACGTGACAGTGGCTAACGACGGGATACTGTACTACAACAGCACAATTGTTGCAGCATGCAAAGACATATCGGTTAATATCACATGTTCAGATGGTTCAGGAAAATTTGTTGTATTACCGCGATCTGGATCCTTTCTTCGAATGAGCCCTTCAAAAGCAACGTGCATAATATCGACTACCAAACCTGTCTTGGTAGCTATGGAAATGCACAGTATAGCTCAGGACACGTCCATGACCATCGTACAGCCAATGACGAGATTTCTTGGGGATCTCATGTTCTTGGTACCCTTTATTACAAATCACGTTCACCTGGTCGTAGTAAGCTATTGTTACACCTCCCTCAGTCTAGATAATGTGACCCTGAGGACGGTGAATATTGATGGGGACCCAAATATCTGTATAGGGCGTACAAGCATCAGTGGTGGCGTTCACGTCATAAGTAGCTCAGAAGATATTTTTTTTATCTCGGGGTATTTATGTGGAGCTACAGACTACAACAGTATTGCTTTCCCATTGGTTCCTTATCTTGAAAACAGAGTAAGTATGTTACATTGTGTAATATGATCGTTTTACCATGTATCTCATCCGTCATCACATTTAAGTAGATCTTCTAAAACACAATATTTCAACATGTATCCAGGCAATCTCCATCTTTAAAATTATCACAGCTCTGATATGTCTTTAATAAGATTTATAAAAGATTTCTCAGTTAACGCGAAGTAGAAATCTTATCAAATACGTGAAATATTTTAACCTAAATATAACCGGCACACATATTTAAGTATAGATGTGGATTTTTACATTGTTTACTTCGCACCCTTATGAATTTTATTCATAGAACTTTTAGTCATCAGATATAAAATTGTTTCAACCTGTTGACGAATTGGATTTTGACAATTCAACCCTAACACTTGAAGTTACAGGAAATCATATGTTTCTTGATATAAGTTAAAGTATAATGGTTCATATTTTATTTCAGCAACATGAGCAACATAGAAAACAATGCCAAGAAACGACAGGTAAGTGAGCGAGTTTCGTAAACCAGACAGCTCGTATTACGTGTCTTACGTCATTTCGTTTTACTTATTACATTATTTCCAAAACCACGCATGAAATAACCCGCTGACAGACCGTGAAATCGATGTACATGGAGGGAGCCTTTCGTTTACGTAGCTGTAACGAAACCGGATGAACCAATAAACGAACTACCCTGTTCATTTTCATCCCAGATCGTTGACTGAGTGGGTCCAAGCGGAATCAAGATGGCAACTCAGGTTAAAAAGTAAATAAATGCAGTTGGAACTTCTTGGAATTTTACAATGATCATTTGCTATTACAAAACTAACATCGGTACAAAGAAAGTGCAGATTCCGTTGTTAGATTCCATTGTGTTTTTAACGGTAGATGACCTCCGAAACTGACGACCAAACATAACACATAATGTAAGTAGTACCAGTGTAATCATTGTCCTTGGTAATGTATTGCAGCCTTTACAGTTCAAATGTTAACTACAAGAACTTGTTTGATCTGGTGACTTTCCATCTTATTAGATTGATACATTTATTTATTCTATTAATAAGTAAAGTAGGTTACCAATTACAGGTTTATAGAATAAAGTCAGGTGAAAGATTTGAGAGTGTTTTCCTCTGTACGTTGATTACGATATAAAAGGAACTGTACAGTATACTGCGAGAAGCTTATTTCATACACGGATAACAATGACAATCTACAGTAAAGATAATTTAAGAAATAAATAATTAAATATCTACTCAAAATATATGCCGTTTAACAAAATCAACTTTGCTAATGAAATGGGAAATCTTTCAGTTCTCATTTTGGATGTCTACAAACCAAACTTCAAATACATATTACTCTAGTTCTCAGTCAGCATACACTGCAAAAAGGAGAAAAAAAGAAACATGTATTAGAGTTGATTCAAACTGAATGTATAAAACCGTTTATGATATTAAGCCATTTACATATAATGTGTGAATTACAAACACAACCCATTTTATAAAATGATATCGGCTTCATTAAAGTGACTTCATATCAAATTCCTAGAACTTAATCAACCAAAAGTTGCATGTAATTGCATTGATTGGGAACATTCACATTTTCTGAGGAATTGAAAAAAAATTCTGAATTAGCATTTTCATCTTTATGATTAATTTCCTATTTTGTCATAAAATATTCATTGATTTATGTACTCATTCGATTAACAAATAATTTATAAATAAAATGACAAATATATTACTATTTCTATCAAAATATTTACACGGCATTTTCCAATGCTCATCATACTGGTTTGTTTGTGATGAAAAAATAAATAAGACGATAAAATCAATTTCATAATGATTTATGGCTGATGAGAATGTAAATACCAATGTTTTATACATATCTTAAAATGGTCTCTCAGTGACATGTATCCGGACTTATTTGATGCTCGTTAGTTTGCCTGTTGGTTCAATTGTTGTATACCTTGCTCTCATTTAAGAACGTGACATTATTTACTTGGATTGACCACTGTTTATTTGGCAAGTGTCGTCGATGAAGCAGAAGACGATTACTCTTCCGGAACACCTGCTTTTATTCTACTTGAACTTTTTCAGGAATCTCCGTGTAAATCTTTCTTTTATTCATATTTTGTCCCAGTTTTATAAGAATTTAAGTTTGAATCATGATTATGTTGCAATGTTGGTATATTCTTGCTGTTGTTTATCTTGTGTTGAAAATGTATAAAATATGCATTATATTTAGTTTTTTTTTCTTCTTTTTTTATTATTATTTTTATTATTATTTTTTTTAAAATTATTATTATTGTTATTATTTTTTCATTTTTTTTTTTTTTTTTTTTTTCATTTTTTTTCCCTATTTCTATTTTGCTCTTACTGAAGAAAGTAATGCTGTAACCATATAATTATCATTGTCGATTTACGAAAACATCGTGTCAGAAATAAAAAGTCTTCCAAATACAAATAGTCAAAGTGAAGTGTCAGGGAAAGTCTGTAATTCTATATTGGAATGAAAACACTGTATGAGTCTGTTCTTTTATGCGGAACAAAATCGTGCCACTTTAGTGCTGTTACATTCGGAAAGGCCCCCAGCACATCCTAATATTTCATTCAGGTCAACTGAGGGCGGTGCTTAGATTAATTTAAGGAGTTATATAATACCATTTGACTGAAATCTCGTTTCACATGAACTTTGAAATGACATCCCTGGACGCTACTTCATTCTACTTATGAATCCTACTCATATCAGTGTGAAGTGTCAAGAAGTATTAAGTATCTCTTTATCACATGTTACGACTAAGGTATTTAGCCCACAGTCTTTCTCACATAGGCTGAAACTTAACTGAAATGAGGCATTGTAAAGGGAACAGTTTCGGAAGGAAATGGTAGGTTAGGATAAAAATTTTATTTATCAGTTTACTTCTACGATCATTCATTGGCTAGCGATTTAGGAATCTCTACTAAAGATTTAAACTACGGATTAAAAAAGAAAATAGTAAAAGGAGCCTCTCCGATATACATACCAAGTATAACATAACCAATTTCTCACCAGTCGTTACTAAGCAAGTACATATATTTACTGTACGATATAAATCTCAATCTTTCAAGCGAAAACAATTTGCATCTTTATTTTCTATATAGTAGACATTGTTGATAATGTATTACATTAGCGTCTGTAAAACTAATTATTTGTAAATAAAATACCCATACTTAAATGATATTCCTTCATCATACAATTATTGTGATAAAATCATATGTTGTTATATATTTTCTACAATGATGTAACAAATATTCAGTCCTAGGTACTATCTACATATCCAGTTATACTCCTTACGCCACAGTTCCACGCTCCTTCCTACTATATAAACGTTTAGAACTTACAGCAAGGTTCCTGCTTGATTCTTCAGTTCTCTTATGATTATTATCAACTTCTTTGTTATTGTCAAAACTTAATGTACTGTAATCCTTTGTAATACAATAATACTACCCTGTAAGCATTCTCAGGGATGTTCTACACCGTACTGTAACGGTCTATTAATAGAAATAGTTTTGTGGTGTTCATGCTGGCTTTTTCACATTAACATGCATGCTATAGACTGCAGTTTGAAAAGTACAGCTGCAGATATATGTGTATACATGCATACTTGCATTTCGTATGATCGTTTCCCACTAACACTGTGCATAGAAACCATATATTCAAGACAGTATTACTATTAATATGACATTTTGACGTCATGTTGACCAGCGTTACGTCAAATCTTCAGAAGTCGGCGAAGTTAGCACAGATCCTTAATATTTTAAGATATCTGAAATTTAAATGTATAACCATTGGATAGTCGTTTAATCGTGTCACTACAATCTGTTACCTCTCCCAGCGCGCACTGGGAAAAGAAACGACAACTCTGACAGAAATTGTACATTTTGACGAGCGTAAAATGATAAAATAATTCTTGCAAAACGCCAGTTGATAACCTAGTGGTAGAACACTTTACCAGTCCACCTTTCACTGCTTTCCTGTTTTAAATGCCAGCACACTTTGTTACAAAAATATGTCTTAATTGTATGACGTGGTAATTCTGTCTTTCAGAATGGACGTCCAGTGTTACCAGAAATAGGATGACCACAAGCACGCATTCCGTCAAGATTGGGTCAACTGTGCAAGAGACTACCGAACAAACTTCAACTTCACTACCTGTTGTTTCTGGAATCATCACGACCGACATACCACGCCACAATCATTCAGGAAGCTCATGTAGGTGTGTATGTTCAAGTGGACATAAAAATGTTAACAGTTCTTTAACGAAATTGAGAAAGAAACTTTCTATTCCTCACAACATGACAAATAGGCACTTCCGGTCTCTGACATCAGCCGGAGATGACAGGTCATCCTCCAAGATGCTTGGTATTGCTGGATCACTGGTCATCGGGGTAGTAGTCTTTACTATTGTAATACTGGATAGCGACCAACTTGTTTGGATTGTCAGAAAAATAAAACGCATTTCTTGTAAAATCCATACTGGATAAGCCATTAGGAAAGATTTGACGCAACGCTCATCGTCCAAGACGAAAGAAAAAGAACGACATTATGTTCAAAATCACAACGATGAAAAATCTTAACATAAGACGGGCAACATATACAATAGCGACAAGAAACTATTAAAACTCATTTCGATAATGACCATCATTACAAAATCTTCGTCTTTCAAACGAAGAAAACAAAACCCTCCTGGGATTGAAAGCCATCATCATCATGTGCTTGCAATTATATCTAGTTAAATGACAATCAACGGCTTTGACATTCAATAAACTTTGTAGATATTTATTATATCTTTATATCTATATATATATGTATTATCATAAGGTGTCTCGCTGTTTACATTAGATTTATGGAACTCGTCACAATTCTTTTTTTTTTCAAACTGGTGTCTTCAAAACGAATAAAGAAATTAGTTTCATCTTATTTATCTAAAATAAAATTTTTAATTAAAGGAAGATCATCTACATATTAACTTATCACTTCCTTGTTTTATCTCTCGTCTACCGTTTTGTCGTCCAATTGTAACGTCACCGTGAAGACAGCAATCAACTGTGTTGACATTGAATACACGGCAATAACATTATAGGAATTATCACGAAGGTTCACATTGCAGTCGATTTTTTTTTCAGTGAACCCTACTTACATTTGTATGTTGAATTCTAACACATATTGTACATTTCATTGAGGTCACTTGTACAAATAATGGTACATCTTGCAGCTCTTCGAATTGGTAAAAAACTGAAAGCACAATTTTAACCATATATTGAAAATAGCTGGGGATCACTAGTAAACTATTAGTGATGACACCCTCCATGTCGGAGACAACGCATACCAAGTAAATCTGACGATAATAACATGATACAACATTAGTATATTATCTTCCTCAAAAGTTTAAATTCCACATGCCAATTTTAGTACCTCTAACTATTAACTACCATTCACAATCAAATCTGGATTACAGTCCTATTGTGATGCTGTTTACCCATAGAGCAAAGTGGTATTAATAGTGTGTGGATTTTCAAGAACTCCAAAGAGGCTTTGACCAATCTTCAACACCCTCATCTATAACATTACCTCTATAAAAACATTTGAATTTTCCAACCTGTACACCACCATACTCCATTCAAAACTGAAAGACTACTTTCGATCTCTTGTTATGAGCGTTTTATTTTAAGTTAAATGGCAATACAGATATATGATTTTGAACTATACTGAAATATATCTCGTGAAAAATCAAAGAGGAAATATACAAGGACGAAATCATAAATATGATCGAGTCGAGTTTGGCGGGAAGATCTTCTGACGGACTATGGGCTTGAGAACTAACTTTGCTCCTCAGCCGGCTGACTTGAATTTCACTATTACAACGCTACATTCCTAACCCATCCCCAAATAGTGTTTGCATGTCACAGTTGGTTCGATAATCAAGGGCTTGTTCCATTATCGAGATTTTAGTGGTAGAAGTCGTCAACAAACTCGAAACATAGGGTTTCAAATGGCACAGGCTGATGAAAATAATAAAGAAAGTTTACGGTCGTCAAGGTGATTTCATTGAGCGATATGATGCTGGACGTGTTTGATGGTCTTTATTATGTCGGTTGGTTCCGTTGTTATACACTTGTTCTCATTTGAGAATGTTTCATTATTTGCTTGGTTTGACCAAGGTTGACATGACGGGTGTCGTCAATGAATCAGAAGACGCTTTCTCCTCCGAAACACCTGGGCTTATTCTTGAAGATTACTCCTCCGAAATACCTGGGCTTATTTTGTACATTTTCTTTAGGAATCTCCGTGTAATTTTTATTAAATCCGAGTTTGCTTTTTTCTTGTTCTTCCGTTCTCATCATTCGTCTGTAATGTGGAAGTCCTATTGCACTATTGCATAAACAAAGTTCTATCAAAATAATAGGCTGAGTTCTGATAATTGCAAGTTCATGAAAGCACACAATAAACGTGTCTGGTAAATATATTTATTGTATCAGATAATTTAAATAAGACACTTTCAATATATCAACTATACCAGGTAGTGGTGGAAAATGACCATTGCATTCTAGTAGATGTCTTTTGTACAATTATTAGATTCTCAAAAAGTACATTTAATAATCAGTTGTAATTTATCTCAGTTTAAAAATATGCATCTATTGTTGATAAACAGTACACCAAGTTGTAGAAAGAAGTTTCATCATCGCTTACCAATCAACTACCAGAACCTGCCATACAGTCAAAAAGTTTCATTTTCGCTGATTAATCAACTTCCAGAACCAGCCATACAGTTGCTGAAGAGAATATTGTGCAAAAGACACACGAATGAATAGCACCTTCTAAACACAAATTTGGACCTAGATACAGTAGAGCCAAACAAGAAATTAAACTGCACCATACAGCCGTTTCGCCCTTCTAAGATCCGTCAGTGATGATTAAGACCTATATTTTAAAACCTATGAGACAAATGAGTCTTGATAGTAGGACATAAAGAATATATCCAATCTTTCGAAATTCAAAACAAGTCATCCTTGTATGAACACGGCTGACTTGTCTCCTTTTAATTATAAAAGATATGTTCTGATGACGCTCACAAAAGTATCACCGGAAGTAAGTGATATACAGTAGTGAAATCGAGTGAAAATCGGGAGATTTCTTTGTCAAACTAAAAATGTATCTAGAACATTAATGATTCTGTCCCATGCAAATAAGTATCAATGTTAATGATTTCATGTAGCAATTGGGACTTTGACTTTGACCTCGGAACGGTCACCTTGGGATCTTGAAACAGGAAAAAGATCTGATACATTTTTATGGTTACAATTATGATTGTGATAAAAAGTCGTCGATAGCAATTATGTGGGGCGGGACGGGAAGGGACGAGACGGACCTAGGTATCACTAACAGCCAAAATGGCGAAAACAATAAAAATATACAAGATGGTGGTTTTCTTCAAAACTAAGGCAATTTTTTTTTTGTTTTAAATATTTGTGGTGAAGCATAACGCTGTTAAACGGTTAGACTTATAAGATGTATAAGATGTTCATACGGTTTCACTCACAGGTATACATTGATGAATGATCATAAGATATCGAGGTCACGAAATGTAGACATGATTTGATTCAGTTTAAATTTCAATCATTAAACGGTCTTTTAAAACAAATACACGTTACAAATTTGTTATTTGACATCTAAATGCCTAAATACTTTACATCGAAATGTGCGCTTTTTAATGAGGATTTCATCCACAGTCAGCGATTGTAGTATTTCATTGTCGGTAAAACACCTGGAAACAATTAAGGAAGTCGTTTATGGTTGGTAATTGTGCATTGAAAGTTTGAATGTTATAATTGCATGAACTAAAATGAATTATCCATTTAAATATTAATTGATTTGGACTATAAAAACATGGCTCACTTTCAGAAAAAATGGAAAAGGAAACATCATGGATGATAATTCCGCGAAAACCTTTATTCTTCTGCTGTCTAAGCCTGGCAGCCATTCACACTAATCATTATGTCAATTAACGATTGTTAATACCGCACTACCGCACCAGTCGATTGTACATGTTTGGTTCAGTTTGGTGTTCAGTATTGTCCTAAGATTCATATACATTATAAGCCAATTATTTATCTGAATCGACGGCATGGTCAACGGTAAATATACTTTTTATGGCGAAGCAACTAAGTAAGGTCGGTCACAAATTTTACTTTACTACAATTTATAAGATACGTTATAAAGATTAAATATGTCAGACATCAGGTATCTTAACATGAATAAAAAGAAATGATATATAAGATATCTCTGTTTGCTATATAAGATATCTCTGTTTTCTATATAGGATATCTCTGTTTGCAATATAAGATATTTCGTTTGCTATGTCATATCTCGTTTGCTATATAAGATATCTCTGTTTGCTATATAAGATATCTCTGTTTTCTATATAGGATATCTCTGTTTGCAATATAAGATATTTCGTTTGCTATATCAGATATCTCGTTTGCTATATAAGATATCTCTGTTTTCTATATAGGATATCTCTGTTTGCAATATAAGATATCTCGTTTGCTATATAAGATATCTTTGTTTGCTATATAAGATATCTCGTTTGCTATAAAAGATATATCGTTTGCTATATAAGATATCTCGTTTACTATGTAAGATATCTTGTTTGTTATATAAGATATCTCGTTTGCTATGTAAGATATCTCGGTTTGCTATATAAGATATCTCGTTTGTTATATAAGATATCACGTTTGCTATTTAATATATCTTGTTTGCTATATAAAATATCCCGTTTGCTATTTAATATTTCTCGTTTGCTATGTGAGATATCTCGGTTTGCTATGTAAGATATCCCTCTTTGCTATATAAGACGTCTCGGTTTGCTATATAAGATATCTCGTTTGCTATATAAGATATCTCGTTTGCTATGTAAGATATCTCGGTTTGCTATATAAGATATATCGTTTGCTATATAAGATATCTCGTTTACTATGTAAGATATCTTGTTTGTTATATAAGATATCACGTTTGCTATGTAAGATATCTCGGTTCGCTATATAAGATATATCGTTTGCTATGTAAGATATCTCGGTTCGCTATATAAGATATCTCGTTTGCTATGTAAGATATCTCGGTTCGCTATATAAGATATCTCGTTTACTATGTAAGATATCTTGTTTGTTATATAAGATATCACGTTTGCTATTTAATATATCTTGTTTGCTATATAAAATATCCCGTTTGCTATTTAATATTTCTCCTTTGCTATGTGAGATATCTCGTTTGCTTTATAAGATATCCCTCTTTGCTATATAAGACGTCTCGGTTTGCTATATAAGATATCTCGTTTGCTATATAAGATATCTTGTTTACTATGTAAGATATCTTGTTTGTTATATAAGATATCTCGTTTGCTATTTAATATATCTTGTTTACTATATAAAATATCCCGTTTGCTATTTAATATACCTCGTTTGCTATGTGAGACATCTCGGTTTGC